GGAATTAATTCTTATTTATTATAAATTTTTGGATTCGCTTGCTTGTATTGTTTAATCTTTCCCTACAGCAATTTGGTAGAAAGTCTAACAATCTAATTAGATTTTAGTAGGACCAAAGACCACATTTTCCGACCTGGCAAACGGGCGGGTTCGAGCCAGGTAGCTGCGGGGAATTGGTTAAAAAATTTCACGGGCAAGGAAATGTGACCCGTAACTCGGGGTCACCCGTTTCTAAAACAACCTCTCTACTCTTGGATTGGCCCTTATTTTTCTTTTTTCAAAAAATTGTGTTTCTTGGAAGAAGGTTCAGGGTTCTCAAAAGAACAAACCACGTTTCTTCCCATTGAAACGAGAACATGGGTGAAGCTTGGCCGCCTTTGACACTACCACTGTTTCTTAATCTTCGAATGAGAGAAGTAGAGAGGGATATTGGGAAGAATCTTAGCACAGTGGGACTCAAGATTGATTTAGAAGTGATTTTATGGAGAAGAAGAGGAAAGGGGAGAAGTAAACAAATGAAGAGCTCACTTGTTGTAGTTGTACTGTATTGTTGTTGCGGTGCTGTGAGTCCATTCTTGGATATTTTGAGTTTTTGTTTTGGCTATTAATAGAGAGAAAGAGAAAGGTAGACTTGTTTGGTTGGATTGTATGGAGGTTGGTTTGACGTTGTGTACGAAGGAGGATGATGAAGGAAGAGAGAGAAAAATATAGGTGGAGTTTAATGGAAGAGGACAGAAAGAGTTTTCATAAAAAGAGAGAGAAGAGAGAGAGAGAGATAAAGGAGACTTGTTTAATGGAAGATTGTAAGGAAGTTGGTAAGAAAGTAGGAGCCTAGGAGGATTGATGAAGAAGAGAGAGAGTAAGAGAGGTGGTTTAATGGAAGTGCAAAGCATTGATGAAGAAAGAGAGGAAAAAAGAGGAGGAGAGTTTAAGATGAGTTGATGGGGTGAGAGAGAAATGCTTTATGGTTTTGCTTCTTTTTAAGTAAAAAGCGGGTACGGCAGGCACCCACGGGCATCACCCAGTCCGCCCTCAACACGGCGGGGTACGAGTTATTCAAAAGGGTATAATAATAAGTCTCCTACCCGCCGTCCGTTTGGAGGTACCGTTTATCGCAAGACGGGTAACACTTTGCAGACTCATTTGGCAATATTATCAGTACGGTGGTGAATGGGATCCCTATAAAAACACAAGTCAAGAAAAGTCACCAATTCTGGACGTGCAATTCAAACTGGTTTTTTTTTTTTTTTTTTTTTTTTGAGAATTAATTTCCCAGAAGGCAAAGTTTTAATATTTGAATAAATTTTCAAAACAATGACTTTTTAATTTAACAAGAACATTAAGAAAATAATCTTTAAGTCAAAACATTTACGACTTCCACTGCCTAAAAACTGAGTCTCTACCAAATAAAAATCAATAACACTACGGACACTGAAAAAATAAACTGAAATTCTGTACTGGCCTACGTGTAACACGCGTATGAATTTTTTTATAATTTTTTTTCTAGTGAACGGCCGTCCATCACATTTGGACGGCCGTTCTCTCACATGAATGCCCATCCATATTATATGGACGGGCGTCATATATATGGCGGGCGTTCCCATTTAAAGGACGCCTGTCTATAAGTAAAATAGAATAAATTTTTTTATAAAAATTAGGGGACGCCCGTTCATTCGTTATGGACAGCCGTCGCTTTATTTTGGAAGGGCGTCCGCAAATAAGGGACGTCCGTCCTCACCAAATATAAAAAAAAAAAAAAAAATTGGGACGGCCGTCCAAAATTTTGGACGGCCGTACTTACGTTTAGACGGACGTCCATTAGGAATGGACGTGTCTCTTATGTTTGGGCAGGCGTCCATGTCCATACTATTAAAAAAAAAAAATCTACAGAACTACTTCTTCTTGTCTTCATTCCCCACTACTTCTTTTTTTGTCTTCGTTCCCCATCTCTTGGAAGGTCAACCTTGGGTTGGGTAAAGATTAACATTAATATTTAGTTCATCCATAGGAACCAAATTACTCTGGAAGTTACGCTACCTTGCTGGAACCTGATATGGGTAATTAGTACCCCTGTACACTAATACTCTCCTTCCCTGAGAATATTAATAACCTTAGATACTGAAAAGGGAAAAAAAAAACTCACCATTTATTTTTAGCGTTAATATAGCCAGCCCTGAAAGTTTTTGTGATAGCTGAGGCTCTTGAAAGTGCGCTATTTTTATTATTGACAAAAACCCTATTTTTGATTAATACTTTATTGCTGCTATTCCTCTGTGTGTGGATAATAGGGCTGTGCAAAAAAAACGGTAAACAAACTGAACACGGTAACCGAACCCGGATTTTCGGGTATCCAAAACTTTGGGTCGGTTTCGGGTAGTTTTTATAAGATACCCGAATTTCGATTCGGGTATCGGTTATTTAATTTTAGAAAACCAAGTACCCGATACCCCGTTTTTATTTAAAAAAAAAAAAGGAAAAAAAAAGACGTCAGACTAAAGTCTAAAACCCAAAAAAAAAAATCCCCAAATCTGAAAATTTCAGATGCCCTAAACTAAAACCCGTCACTCTCAGTCTCCAATGGCGTAAACTTCAATCTCAGTCTCCACTCTTCGTCAGTTTGTCTCTTCACTCTCTTCCAGTACTCAAGTCGTAGGACCTGCACACAGCCGCATCTAGCCAAACATTACCAGCAAAGCTTGAATTGAAAGTGTTAGTAGCCTTGGAAAAAGTAGAAAAAATATCCCACTTTAAAAGGATCTTCCATGAGAAAAGACGATTTTCATTGGTTCCCAAATATACAAAGCTTATAATACAAGCAAAAAGATTTTACTTGAAGATTTTCAATTTTAGTGGAGAAAAAATCTCGTGTCCTTTCCTTTTTTTTACCGGAAAATACAAACACTATTGCTGCACGCAAACTCTCTACGCCATCCCTTCTGCAGTTGCAATTAAAACTGCAGAATGAAAATGAGTTGTTGCCTTAGTAGCTGAGCAAGTTCTTGAGTGCTGAGAAAGTTTCTTTTTTAGAGTTTGTGCATCGGTTGACTGAAGGGATTAAAGGAGAACAGAGGTAATAGAAAAAGGAAGAGAGTTTGAGAATTTGAGAGGGGATGTTGGTTAAAGAAGTCAATGAATTTGGAAGAACTGATGGTTAGGAGTTTGGACTGCTGGAAAATTCGGGTAACAAAATCGGATACCCGGTTTGGACTGAATTTTTGCGTACCCGCAAAACGGTTCGATTAGCGGATATATCTTTGGAGGTACCTGAATTTTCGGATACTCGATTTTTGGCCAAAATCGGAGCGGGTACCCGGTTTGCACAGTCCTATGTATATATGAACTAAATAACGTGGTTTTCTGGTTTTACTAAGTAAGTCACTACCATTTTGCTTCTCAGGTAAGTGGTTGCTGTCATAAAATGACAAGACATCGATGGATTACAACATTTTGGGGATGAACCTGTATCTGTGGGTGATGTGCAATGATTCAGAGGAAGGAAAGTGGCTGCCATCTTTGGTGTCGCTAAAGAAATGAACATACTGAAACACCATGGAGGTGGTCTTATTGATAGCCATGGTGACCCCAACTCAAGGAGCTTGAAGACAGAGCTCAAGAATTATTTTGTGCTTCTGAAAACACTTGGTCTTGGTGGAGAAACTTGGCCAACTTGTTGCTATCTGCATGGGGTAAGTTTGGAAATCCTTCTTAATTTGCTTCATGTTTGAATCTTTGTTTTTATCGTTGGAATCAGGGTATCGAATTTGTTTAATTTTAGAGGACTTTTGTTGGAGCAAGGTGATCTCCACAAGCGTTGGAAATTAGTTAGCAGGAGATTAAGAGATATCGTAAATGTATAGTGATACCTATTGGCAATTAACTACGGGGCTGTGCAGGCATCGAGTAGTTTATTTAAGGTAAACATAACACCTTTTTTTTTCCTATGCATATTATTTTTCTTTGTAAGCTTACAGCAACTGAAAAATATTACTGAAAGAGGAGATGGGGAATGAAGACGAAGAAGAAGGGTTCTATGTAGAATTTTTTTTTTTTTAAAGTATGGACGGGGTCCATTAGAAACGTAAGGGACGGCGTCCAAAATTTATGGACGACCGTTCCCAATTTTATTTTTTTTATTTTCATATTTGGTTAAGGACGGGCGTCCTTATGGGCGGATGCCCGTCCAAAATGAAGGGACGACCATCCATAACGGATGAACGGCCGTCCTAATTTTTATAAAAAAATTTATTCTATTTACTTATGTAGGGCGTCCTTTAAATAGGGACGCCCATCCCTGATATATGGACCCCCGTCCATATAATATGGATGGGCGTCCATGTGAGTGAACGACCGTTCACTAGAAAAAAATTGTTAAAAAAAAATCAAAGCGTGTTACACATAAGCCGATAAACAATTCGGTGCAGGTTTTTCGGTGTCTCTAGCTTTATTGAATAAAAATTTACCTACAAATAGAGATTCAGCCAGTTGAAACTGGAACTAAATGGAGTTCCAAACTTCCTAGTTGAATCATGATAACAAATTCTCCCAAGCGTTCAATTTCAACAATATGATATCAAAACAAATAGAACGATTTCATTCACGGACAACTGATTTGGTTAAAATCCAAACGAACCAAGAAACTCCATAAACTTATTGAGAAACGTCTCTTCTATTACGAAGACAGCCCGGTCGTGAAACTTATCTCTCAAATGTTTTTCATTTACGTTCACGACTCTTTTGGAAAGACCAGCAAAAACTTCCCTTGAAATACCTATCTTAAAGGTCCATAAAATTAATTAAAACCTCTTAAAAAAGGGATGGGTCTTTCTCTATTTCCCAGACCAGACATTCACATCTAAGTGGCCAAACCCCATGAGAGAGGTAAATGCAATGTATGAATGCAAGAATTACACATGAATAATGAGAAAAGGATCTAACTTTCATAGATGAAAGAATGTTGAAATAGCAAACTAGCATCCATTTTTAGTAGAAAACATACCCAATTAAAAATGACAAGTTGTCCTATATTAACTGCTTCCAAACTAGTCATTGGACGATAAGATTCAGATTCTTTAACAAGGAATTTACACAGCTTTTAGAAAACCAAAGTTTCAACTTACAGCATAAAGTGTCGTACATTCCTAGTCTGCAGCCTTCGAAGATTCAGACTTGTGAACCTGAACATAGCCTTCTGCTTTTCGAGCCTCTCCCTCTTCAGCCGACACCTTCTCTCGTGTCTTCTCACTCACTTCCCCAGCTGCCTTTGAGACCCGATTAAATGCACCAGTAACCCACGAAGCCCCAGTCAGAACATAGCGGTTCTTCATGATAGCAGATCCTGCATTACTAACTGTCTGCTCAGCAGCTGACAAGGCAGACTTGGTCTTTTCAGAAACCTGAAACTTTTCATCCATTTCCCTAACTTTGTCATTGACAAGAGATGTGCCAGTACTTATTTTCTCGGTAAGACCAATTTTTTGATCAATAGAAACAACTGTTGCAGTGGCAGTAGATGTGAACCGGTGCTTCTCATCAAAGGCCTTTGCTTTGTTGACTGCATCTTTACCAAGAACAAAGCCCTTGGCCAGCATGGTGCTTACAACATCCTCTGCCTTCTGGACAGCAGATTCAGCACCACCAGCATTTTTGTTCTCTGTGGCCTGAATAATTGTACAGTTCAGTCATACTACAAATACCATTTCTGGAGTACAAAATAAAAAGGAAGATATTAATCATGAAATTACATGAGGTGGAACTGACGCAGCAGCAGGTGGCTTAAAATCTGAATCCAAATCTATTGTTACAGACTGATCCACTATGGTTGCCCCCTAAAAGATGCAAAGTACAATAATCATAAGAAAACAACCAAAATCAGCATTGAAAATCAACAAAAAGGAGTTACACACTGTTAGCCATAAAATTGAGTAAAATGTTTATCTATTTAAAAAGGATCTTCAAACATTTGCTCATTCTGTAACATTCAACAAGGAAAATTATTTTACTATCAAGGATTGAAGCAAACTACTTCCTCTTTTAGAGAGAATAAAGCAACAAAAGAAAACATGTCAAGAACCTAAGTCAAGGTCATTCTGAATTGTATCGTATCTTAGAAAATTAAATCTGTTACTTAGGTTGATATTAACAACTCCACACAGAAAGAAGAAACAATAAAATTTGCAAATAAGATATATCTTGCTTCAATAAAAACCCTGGCTTTATATTTAATAATTACAAAAAAACTTGACAAATTTTTCAAGAACAGTGACAAGAGATGGTGCAAATCTGATACAGATTCCACTTTTGATAGCTATGAATTCTCCACAAGATTTCATAGCGAATATAACTTCGACATTGGAAATCAGACAAGATAACCAATATAAGGAAAATTCATAACTCATTTTTGCATTAGAAACCAGTACTTTTTATGAGGATGCCACGGAAGGCATAATTTTAAAACATGCACTAGCTGTTTTCAAACAATATCACATTGAAAAACACCAAAATTTAGTCTACCTTTGCAAGTAAATTTTGGTTCAATTTGTTACATTATCTTAACTTTGCAAGAGAAACACCAGTTCTAAAGAAAAATCAATTGCTGCAACTTTTGGATATTTCTAAATCAAATCCTCAAAACATAATTATCAGGGCTTCCAACTTAGATTTGTTATACATTTAACTACTTTGGAAAAAAAAAAAAAAAGATTTCAGAAAAACAATCCATTTCTTGTGATAAATAGACTACTTTGTGAAACCTTACAGTATATATAGTTAACAACCCATATCAGTGAAATCATAATGTATATTTCCAAAAGCATGGCATACATGATAGTCTAAAACAAATTGTTGATACAAGTTTCAATATCATAGCCCATTTCATTACTAAGCACAAAATTCCAGGAATCATGGACAGTAAAGAATCAGCAGACATTCTACAGAAAACAGAACTTAAAAGGTAAGGTGATAATGCACCGAAAGAAGAACTGCTGTCTCTGCCCCCTGGGGATCCTTGAAGACAACATATGCAATTTGAGACCGCTCATTGCCACTGAAAGAAAAAATAATAATAATTAAAAAAAATATAAAATTATATGGGACCTTAATATTCCATATAATTACATCCAAAATATCCCCAGAAAGAGTTAATCATTTCAAATTTCACATTTTCTCTTCATCCAAGCAACCACAGAAAATAATAAAAGATAAAGGATGGTAATAAATCTTAGATTTCATATATAACAAACCTGTGCATCTCAACATGTTCAATTTCCCCAGAAAAGGAAAAGAACTCCTTTATATCTTGCTCAGATGCACCTAATGAAACATTGCTCACTTTCACTGTTCTTATCTGTAATGACAAAGAACATCACAAAGGCAAAACTGTCAACAAATGCACAAATAAATTATAAATGTTAACACTGAAACTACAGATACAGAATATGGATCAATATGTTGTGAATGCATTACCACTTGCACAACATGAACTTGACTAGCAAAAAATAACTACATTAACATAAAATGAAAACATTCAAAAGACCAGCTTAATTTTAATAATCATGAAGAAGAATCTATAAGCTATGAAGTATTCATACGGAGGACCATTCACTAAGAGAACAGCTGTATTGCCATTTTTTAAGGCCTACTAAGCCACAATTTAAAGGGAACTCCTACACTTGGGACTTGTAATATTGAGTATCAATTTGTGACAAAATATATCTAATGAATTGAGATTCAATGACCCAAAAAACATGTTTCCGCAGTGTTACTGCCATCCCAGTAACATGGTATGCTCACTGTCTTATTTCTTTATTTGTATCATGATGTGAGTAGTCCAATTCACTCAGTTTACTCGTGCTTTGATCACCATATGCGAACTATAGACTTCCAAGAGAATTTTTCTAATAAATATTTCATTTTCCAAATTCAATTAAAAAATATGAATAATAAAAAAGAGAGCACAACTACATTTAAATACCAAGCAAAACCCAGAGAAAGAAACAGAACATGTTGAATAACAAACTAACTATACATTTCAAGATTACAGTACAAGTCACAGGAGAATTAATTTCGCATAAATTTAAAAAAAAAATGAAGTCAATATTAATCTAGGGTTACAGGAAACCCATTTAAAAAAAAAAAAAAAGAAACAAAAAACATCGGATAAACTAAATAGCACATTAAATTACCCTCACGGGATCTCAAATCATGAAAATAACAATAAATTCAAAAAAATTTGCACCGCTTCATACGCTTTCTCGGCTACCAAACAGATCAAGAAAATGAAAATAACTTAAAAAGAACGAAAATCGAACCCTCTGATCTTATCTTCATGAAATAAAGCTAACAAAATTTATATTGGAAAAAGATTAAAGTAAAGATTTTCATTGCCCTTCCGAAAAAATTTCTCGGCAACCAAACAGATAAATAAATAAATAAAAAGAAAATAAATTGTTTTGAACACTAACCGTCATGGAATCGGTTGTGTAGAGCATACCAAACACTTGAATTTTCACGAATGAACCGTTTCTGGTAGTCGGATTTATTATAGCTTTTCAAAGCGAGATGGATAGAAATAGAATATTAGAAACTTTTTGGCCAGCACGTCAGACTCGTGGCGTGATCTCAATTTAAATTAAAAAATAGGAGAACGACACCCGTTCCACCCAAGGTTTGGCGAACGACGCTTTCCACCTACCAAGTTTCAAATAACATTTTTCCGCCCTCTGTTAGGTTCTGTTATATTTTCATTAATATTTTACTGAAAATAAGAAAATACCCTAAATATTCTACTTTATAAACTTATTATTTTTAATTAGCTAAAAAATCAAATATTAAAATTCAAAAAAGAAAAAATAAATTCACTTAAAAAGTTAAGAGTATGCTATTAAAATTGTTTAAAGTTAAATAATGTTAATATTTATTATAATGTCATCAATATCACATCACTTTATTTATAATATTTTTTATTTTTACAATTAATATAAAAAATCAATATTTCTAATTAATTAAATAAATAATATATCTTTATACTTGGACTAATAAATAATCGAATGAAGAATTTGAATTAACTAATTTAATGTATAATAAACTAATTAAGAAATAAACTATTTAAAGATATTTTCGTCTTTTCTGTCAAATATTAACCAAAAACATAATAGAACCTAACAAGGGTGGGAAAGTGTCATTTTGAAACTTGACGGGCGGGAAAGGTTATTTTATCAAACCTTGGGTGGGAAATGTAGCTCTCCCTAAAAAATATTATGAAATTGGATATTAATAACGAAAAGTTTATTTTATTTTTTATTTTAGTGAATTTAAGAAAATTATGCGATTTCCGTTAGAAGAATATAACTAAAATCATTTCTAAAAATAGAATTTTTTTACAATAAACTTAATTTAATTTAAACAAAGAAAACAAATATAATTAATTAAAATTAATTATTTATTGGAATAATAGAGAAAGATATATAAATTAGGATATATATATGTTCACTCAATAATGTTAATTAATTAATATTATGTATCTCTAATACGGAAAGATTAACTATATTATTAATTTCGTAACATTATCTATTTATTTTAATTTTTGAAATATCAACCTATAATAATGATAGTGTATCAGTATCTGTTGCTGCTCGATTTGCGCACCAACCAATTGTCACGTGGGTGACACTGTTTTATGAATTTTATGCTCGTAACAATGGATGCCTTTTTTAGAAATAAATGAAAAGGGACTTTTTAAGTGGTTCGGATGCTAAGGTAGCAAATCCTACGTCCACTGATTTTGTATTGATGTTGGTGAGGGTCAGGTCGCTAAGCGGACTGACGTACAAGAGAGTTAATGAAAGTACTTTGCTTTTACTTTTTAAGAGAGAGAGTTACCTCTCCGTAGTGAATAAAAACCAACCTCCTTAATGGTGAGGTTTTCTACATTTTATATCGAATGGAAGCGTGTAATCATCATTAGATCTACGGGTTGGTGTGATTGTCAGCACGTCATCCATCTTCACGTCCCGTTTTCCCTTTTTCCAAGCTGACTTTGCATGACTTGCTGCAGAGAGACGGACGCGTGTAAGCTCCATGTTTATTCGCAGGTCTGACGTGCGCACATTGTCCTGACGGCGGCAGGTTACTCCTGACGCGACTCCTTCCACGTCAGCTCTTCATTTTCCCGTGCATAACAGTATCAAAGTTTATAATAACAAATAAACAATCATATCTATTTAATTGCAAATAAGTATATATGAAAGATCTTCGGACATTTAAAATTCTTAAGTTCACTTTATCAAATCTGAGAATATATATATATAATTTGTTGAATTTTTGCGACTAACTAATTTAGCTTTTTAAATTTCTAAATTTATGAAAGAAAAAAAAAAAAAGATATTGAGGTTGAATTTCGTTGAAAGCAGAATAAAAAGATATATGTTTAATATTTAAAAATAAGAATGAAAAAAAAAAAAAAAAAAAGAATAAAAAAAACCCATATGTCATGCTTTTATTTTATTAATAATATTTCATTATTTATTTAATAATTATAAATATAGACCCTATTTTCATAATGGACGCATTAAAAATCTCAGAAAAAAATAAGGTTTGGTTGTTAGAAAAAGAAAGGGAAAAATGACGTGCAAAATAGCGTGGCAGAACGTGGTCAGGGGGTTTTCACGTTGAGATGCTTTTTATCTTGGAAACAAAAATCCAACTATCATGAAAACTGAAAGGATATTATCTCATTTTTAGTTTAGAATTCATTAAACAAAACAATTAAATAATAGTCTCTTGGAGTCATAGCTTTTGGATAATTGTAATCTTTCTAATCAACTTACTTTTGAGGTGCATTTCGTTCAAAGAATATTAACGGCTAGATCGAGACACGACTAGTTAGATTCGACCGATCGTGTGTTATCCTAATCATGTCAACCAAGATGGCAACAACGGTTGCGGTGGTTGTTGGCGAACGATAGTGGTTTTGGTGATGTGTAATTTGCTTTAAATACAAGGATATTATTATCCAAAAACTTAATTAATTAAGGGTAAAATTATAATGACATCTTCATGTAAATTAATTTCAAAATAAGGATATTATTGTCCAAAAAATTTATTAATAAGAGATAAAATTATAACAAAATTAGCATTACCAAGTAATCTTAAAATACTTAAAAAAATAGAAATAATCAGATTATCACCTAAACAACTAACAGTAATTACTATTTGTTTTGAAAGATTACTAAAATATTATATTAATTAACAATCAAACGTAATAAACTAAGTAATATAAGATGACATTAGTCACATTACCTCAGTAATAAGGATAACTCCCAACCGAAGGCCACCTAAATTGTTTTTAAAATTAATCAACTACCACTTAAATTCCTATCACTATTCAAACTTTGTCAAATATACAAACGTAAAATAGTCTTTTGCTTTCCTAAAATAAATACATTTTAGTCCCTATAGTTTTGATCAATACATCAATAATTTTTCACTATTAAAATTATAAAATCATCCTCCAACTTTACATAAAAGATTCATTCTAATATAAAAGAATTGTATAACGTCTGGTAGACTTGGGAACGATTTTGCTAGTGAAAAATCAATGAGTCCTGAATTGTTATTAGAGGTATAACTCAGGTTTATTCATGAATCAACACACAAAAAACATTAATCAAGTTTATTCATGTTCAACATGATAACAAAAATCAACCAAATCTTCATAAAGCTCCATCGATGGTCATGGTGGGAAGGAAAAGAAAAAATAAAGAATGAGCGGCTTAAAAAGGTGATATTTATCCGAAAATTGTGACTTTTGAAAACTATAAGCAGGCAAACTGATTTTCTCTCTTAAATATATTCTTTTCATATTTGAAAATTGTAGTAAAATGACTAGAGTTAATAAATGCATGAAAATATAGAATTTGCTTCAGTTGGTTGAGGCAACTTGTTCCAGGTGCAACCTAACACATATTTGCTTGTTTTACCCCATTTTGACCAGGAGTTCTTAGTTAAATGGTTAATCAACTGGCGATCTCTTTGCCAAGTATTCACTCTAAATTGAATCCCATTGTAGCCTTGCTCCACAATTATAAATTAAGAAGAGTAATGAAATAGTGTTAAAAGTTAAGGTCTGGGACCAAAATATTTAATGAGTTATGAAAGACATTTGTAACGAAAATAATCAAAGGATTAAAAATGAAAGGATTTGAAGCTAAAAATGATAATAAAACCAAAAGAAGCAGGAAAATACATGATGAACAAATATGGATTTAAAAAGGAAAAGAAGCAAGAAAATACATTATATTTTGAGTTTCTTTTTAAGTTAAAAAATATAAAGATGTAAAAGCTATTTTTAGTTTTAACTATTTTTTATGATCATATCATATGGGATTTATTCATGAAGCCAACCTCTTTGCCTATGGCACTATAAACACCTCTGACAACGAATTTTTTAAACACAGAGAGAGAGAGAGAAACAAAAATCATTTGAGAAGACAACGAGATTAGATTTTAAACATTTTTGGATCTGAAAAGCAAAAGCAACTCCAATCAAGCTCAACAAAACATGGAATGACATAGGAGAGAAATTTGAGCCCTCTACTATGGCTTCTTTCAGTAAAACATGACTTACCATTGTCAGACAAAAATAGGATTTTAAAAAATGGTTGGCGGGTGTCACTCCAAAAGTAAACTCCATTGTGGTAAAAGAAGTGATGTTTTGAAACTTCATTGATTTGGTTAGTCTTTACATATAGAAGTTAAATTTCTAAAATGCAATCTTTTGCAAGTTTGCAAACCTTCATATTATAATGTATTGTGCTTGAATATCGCATCGACATCAGTCATTTGGAATCAAAATTATGTTTTACTTGCTGATTGAGTCGACAATTCTATCAACTCTCAAGGTTTATTTTTTATTTTTATGATAACAAACTAATACGTCAATAAGAATGTTTGCTAAAGAATTGTGCTTAAGTTTGGACTTAGATGACAAGGAAGTTTCTATTGCAGTCACAAAATATTAAAGATGTAAAAGACAAAGCGTGGATGAAAAAATTTTAGGAATAAAAGAAAGCTTAAGTCTAGGTATAATTCTTTATAATTAATTTTATTCGTCTAAAAGCGTGAGTCTTGGTTAAAAAATTGATTTACATATGAAAGCTTTCAAAAACACTTTTTTGGGGTTTTTTGGGTCAAAGTATCACTGTTTTAAACTCAAGGCTTAAACTAAAATTTGCCAAGTTCTAAATCCTTATAGTTTAACCCATTACGTAAACCGCATAAGGGGAAGTTTTGAGTAAACCCTATGTCTTTCATGAATTGAGAGTAACACTTCCTGAGTTCCTGTTTCTAAAAACAAGGCCTTAGCTCATATTCCTTCCAAGTCTGTTAGTGAACATCCATTAATCAACAGAAGTGACCATTTTAACCCTTTCAAACCTAAACCAAACCCTGATACTAAAAAAACTGTCGCATTCTCTTGCTCAACTCAAACAGTGAGCTTTCATTGTGCAACCATTGTTGTTGCTGCTGCTGCTACCACCGCCAACAACTATATGGCCTCAATTCAATCGTTAAAGGGCATGAAGGCCT